AACATATAGAATTTATTTAATCCATAGATATACTGCACTACATAAATCCTTCAACTCTCATGATGCAGAGGATAATCATGCTATATCTGAGACAGGTAAAAATTCCTGTGCCTAGAAAAACAGTGCAAGTATTATAAATATGCTACATTCAGATAATAATTTTGATGATTCCAAATAAAAACTCATAAAAAGAAAATATTGTGGTAGAAATGGAATAGTTTGAGATAGAAAGGAACAAATAATAAACTGGTAGCATACAACCGTAATCATTTTTCACTTGGATAGATGAAGCTATCCAAGACGAAGTGAAGCTTCATCACTATTGCCTACCATCACCACCCAAATTTTCCATTCCCCCATGTATATATGCACATTGCCCACTCATATTTAAGGAATTTCCTGTCTTGCTACTTGCAGCTAAAACTTTGTACCTCTTCTTTCCTTTGATCTGTGTAGTCGTAAAACTTAAAGGTAGACTCCATAGCTACACTTCTAAGTCAACTCATATTTATTGGTCACCCATTATGTGTGAAGCACTATGGTAAGATCATTAGATGTGTTAATTAATCTTCACAATAATCTTACATGTATGCATTTTTATGGTAAAATTAAATGTATAGAAACAGTTTCCAGGTAAGTGAATGACTTTCGCAGGTCACACGTTTAGCAAGTGCATATTGTTGTTATCATATAATAAGGTAATATAGCTGGAATTTACTGGGAGGCTTGTTGCATATTATACCTTATTGAATAAGTATGTATAAAATAACATATAGAATTTATTTAATCCATAGATATACTGCACTACATAAATCCTTCAACTCTCATGATGCAGAGGATAATCATGCTATATCTGAGACAGGTCAAATTTGTTGATCTGGAGGTAAATTTGCTGCTTCCAGATACAATTATTCAGTGTCAACAGTGAACAAGGTGAACAATTAAACGGATTAAGACAATACAGGCAACTACATCAAATGTTTCTCCATTTTTAAAAATACATGCTATTTGAATTTTTATCTCATTAAAGCAAATGAGATATGACACGTAGTTATACAAAACTGCAAGCCATCAGGTAGATGTCAATAAAAATAAAATACAAAAAATCTTTTGTTTGTCATTTTTCCTAACTGAAGATAAAATGAAAATAGCAATTGGATTTAAAAAGTAGTATTTATCGCTGTCGTAGTACCATCCGTAGAATCCACATTTTAGCTGACACACCTCCAAAAAATTTGAAAATATTATTCAAATGCAGAAAAAACTAGTTGAACTGAATATTACTCACATTTTTGTCATAAATACAAAGGTATCTCTTGAGTTAAAATTTTAGAAATGATAAGTAAGAATGAGTTAGGACAGAATAGTGAAATCAGAAGATTCTAAAATAAAGAATCCTAGATATATCCTTTGCTAGCAGCCCACTTGAAAGATGTTCTCAACTTCTGTGGAGACGGAAAGCAAGTTTATACCTAGAAAAAAGTGAATGAGAAATGCAGTTCAATGTTTAAAAAGATTGTTATCTGTCTTTAAAAATTTGCAAACTAACTCAACACCTCACAGGTGTACTTATTTTTTCCCAAAGATAGAGGAACAAGCATGTATTTTATTCCTTTTATGATTGCATTAGTAATTTTCAGAATTTCTTCACAGAACATTATATTTTAAAATATAGGTATAGGATATTGCCTTTACTTCATATACACACAGTAACTAACTTCTATAATAATAGTTTACGTTAGCATCATCAAGACCAGCAAATTATATACTCAACACAGGGTAGAATACATTTTTAGAATAAGTAAGCTTATAGAACTCTGAAAATGGCAGCCTTTTATATTTTTTATGTTCTGAAATTTTGACTAGTTAGAATTGAAGACTATATTCTTATATTTTATTTTCAAAAATGTATCTTATAATGAACTTTTCTGTTTGCCTCATATTATTTATCTGTCATCAGTGTATTGAATATCTCTTGGTAAGTTATGTTTTTAGACATATTTAATTAAAACAATTCCAGGATTTTGAAAGAATGAAACTGCATCAAACATATGGTAATAGTTTTATTCTAATTTATGCAAGATACTTTAAAAGTTAAATTGAAAGCATGAAAAAATATTCTAGGAAATCTAAAATCACAA